TAGTATGATGACACTCTTGACTCCTCTGAAATGGTCTTTCCACTAGTTCTTGTCCGTTAATTGGATCTCGGAGGTGTGGAAGCACGGAAGTGGGGTGAGATTCTTAAGGAGACACGGTGTTACTTCTGTCAAGGTGTTATTTCGGAATTTTGATGCACGGGTTTTATCCTGGGTAGCGGTTTTAATCCTGGGCACGGTTTGAATCCTGGATCACGGTTTTAATCCTCGGATGACGACTTTTGTAGAAGGATTTCGGATGACGACTGACTTTGGGGTCTTTTTTCTTTTCTTTTTTCATTCCTCTTGGGTCTTTTCCATGAGGTCAGGTGATGGCCTTTAATGGTCGCCCGTCCAATATGTCTTTTCCATTCAAAGTTCCTGGTGACACATCCCTGACTAACTTGATCCGACTCAACAAGGAACAAACCCCGTGGGAAATAATTTTTATGGCTTTTAGCCTAACTCGATAAAACGCTCGAATTTAACCGATTAAATTTTCTAATAATTAAAATTTAAAATAACACTTTATTGTGGGTCTGTTCGTCCCTCACATAAATATGGTAATTGTTTCAGCAAGTTCTTCTAGTGTAAGAGTCAATAAAATTAGAATTTCCAGTAATTGTAGTTATATTTATTTATATAAAGACACTGAACATGCCAATTAAACATAATTAAATTAAATTTTCATTAAAACTTTGTTTTAAATTTAATTGTTGGAAAAGTGTGTGAAGCATGTTGAGTGTCTTTATATGCTATAGTAGTTTCAGCTGTAATTAATTATTATTGATTTTTTTAATTTATTTTCCTTCATATTATCAATCAAATGTACAGTGGTGCCTCATATAATGTATTCAATACTTAATCCATTCCAGGTGCACGTCCGTTAAGTGAAAAGTCCGTTATACGAAATGCATTTTCCCATAGAAATACGTGTTAAAACATATAATTTGTTTTGCAGCATAAAATAACCATGCCATAAAAAAATGAAAATGGAGCAGTCGCCAATTATGCCGGGTAGTCAGATGTTGTGAGGAGGTGGAGGAACGCTTTTTTCACACATTCATACAGATACAAACTTTTTACACATTGCAGTGGGTCTCTTTTTATTGTTTTTTAATCGGAGTCAGATTCAGGAGAGGCTAGCAGAGCTTGCAGGGTCAACTTCTCTTGTTCCATTTTTTGTCTTTTGGCAGCTGGCTTCTTGAAAAACATGTCCAAGGTGGTCTGTTTCTCTCTCTTCTTCAACACCTGTCGGAAATGAAGGGTGTCATTGTAGAGATCATTGATCCTGTTGGTCTCAGCTCTGTTTGGATAATGAGTGTTGGTAAACTGTTCGACCTCTCCCCATTTGACAAGGAAGTTTTTGTCAACTTTCACTCCTTCTGATGATTTCTTGCTTTGTTTCAATTGAAATCACTTTTCTGTTTTTTTAGAAGCACAACACTTGAATAAATGTAAATACCATGCACTGAGGTGATGTACTGTACGTAATAAACAAGGGAACAAGCCGAATCCCAACGGGAGCTCTGTACTTCAGGTATACTAATAATATATTATAAAAATAGCAGATTGTCATTGGCAACGGCAAAAGAGTGGAAACATCATTTGCACTTGTTTGCAGCCAGTCCGTTGCTTGAGTCACATAATGGCCAAACAGAAAGTCCGTTGTTTGCAGCGTCTGTTATTCAAGGCATACGTTATACGAGGCACCACTGTATATTTTTACCAGTACAGATAAATCCTAAAGTGATTACAATAAGTGAATTCTATTGTGTGTATATATATATATATATTTGTAATTAATATAAATTTTGTCTTAAATTTCAGGTATTTTGTAGAAAAGAAACCAATTTGGGAAGAAGAATTGGTAGCATTGAAAAAGAATGTTAGAATTGATAATTCAATTTCACAATATACAGGAGGTCTTATAAAAGTAATTTTCATTGATATTTTAGATAAATTAAATTGATGTATATCTAAAAACAAATTTATTTTGCACAGTTTATTTATTAATAAATATTAAATTAAAATTTTATAGAAGTAAAGTTACTTCTATACAGTTTTTAAATGTTTATTAAAATTTATTTTAATAGAATGATTTAGAATAAATAGTTATTTTTGCTTAAAAAAATATTTTAAAATACTTTTGTATCTGTATTTGTATAATACATGTTGTATTATTTATTTCTGTATGTCAAATACAGTACTGAATCGATTATCTGGGAACATTGGTACTGAAAATGATCCAGATTTAACATATACAAATTAATACACTTCTGAAGTAGAGTCTGTTTGAGTATTATTAATCCTCTTAAAATATAGAATACCACATAAAGTATAATGTTTAGGATGAAAATTAAGCAAAGAAGAGTAAATAACATAAATGAACTGGCATCACATGATACATATGCCACAGAAATCAAACAAAGCATCCTTATGGCAAACTNCACATCATTTATTAACAGCTAGATATATACACATATTTACATTAATACTTAATTAATTGTAATTTGCAGGTTAAATAATTTACATCAATTAATTAATTTTTGTAATTAACAAAATACAAAACATATATGTCTACTTTTAGTGACATATTTCTTTAATTGTATTAATTAGTAATGCTGTAATTCAACAAATGATTGACATTTGGTTTAGATATAGTTTTATAATTCAGTTAAAGAATTTTATATATGAGGGCAATCCAGAAAGTAATTTACATTTTAGAATAAAAAAAACCCAAATGAAAGGAAACATTATATACATTTGAATGCAGCACTCTTAAACTATTTTCAACATAGTCACAGTTTAAATTGAGGCACTTATTATAACGGTGCACCAGCTTATTCATTTCATTGTCATAGAATTTTGCCGCCTGAGATTTCAACCACTCATTTGTGCCTGTCTGCAGTTCTGTGTCATCATTGAAGTGCTACATTGCAAGCCACAACTTCATGTATGGAAACAAATCGTAGTCTCAGTGCAAGATCTGGCCTGTATAGCAAATGATCAAATGTCTCCCATCCCGAGACCATTTAAGAGCTGTCGAGTGCAATTGGCCATATGTGGACAGGCATTGTCATAAAAACAAACAAAATCTTTGAACTCAATTTACCCCAATGTTTGTTTTGAATCGCTCTTTTTAACTTTTTTAATGTTTCACAATATCTCTCAGAGTTGAATCATGTTTGAGGAAAGACACCAGAAGCACATTCTTCCTGTCCCAAAAAACAATTGCCATGATTTTTCTTGCTGACAACATTTGCAAAAATTTCCTTGGTTTTGTGGGAGAACTTGTGTATTTCCACTCCTTGAACTGGTTTTTTGTCTCACAATTTACATGTTTTATTCAAGTCTCATCTTCAGTTGCAACCTGATCAAGAAGTGAGTCACCATCTCTGTGGTAAACTTTCAGAAATGTCAACAATGCTGCCATGTGCTGTTTTTTGTGGTTGTCTGACAAGATTTTTGGTATCCATCTGGCACAAAACTTATGGTAGCCTAGCTTGTGTGTTACAACTTAATGCAACAAACTCCTTGAAATTTGTGGAAACTCAAATGAGAGCTCTGTAATTGTGAAATGGTGGTTTCCATTGATTTTCGTCACCAGTTCATCAGTCAGAATGTTCGGTTGGCCACTTTTGCTTTTCATCAAGAACGTTAGTGCGGCCATTTTTAAACACAGTGCACCATTGCCTCACTCTGCCTTCACTCATTATGTTGTTTCCATACACTTCATAAAGTTGCCAATAAATTTTAATTGACCTGTGATTTTTTGCTGACAAAAACTCAACCACTTGTTCCCTATTTTTCATTTAGGAATTTTTAATTAAACATAAAAAAATACTTAAAACTGAAAAAAAACGAAAGAAATGCGTTAATTTTCAAGAAAAAGCTTCAAACTTTATTTTCCATTGATCCAAAAAATATTAAAACCATATAATATCACATTAGCACCCACAATAAACAATAAAAGCAAATATTTTTTAAAAAATTACGTTTTTTATTGCGATTTCCGACCCTCCGACTTAATTAAACGTATATATATAAAATCTATTAATTAAAAAAATTAAAAAACTATTGGAGGTCGTTTTTGACATCAGAAACTAGCTTTAAATAACTTTACGGAAGTAAAATCTGTGCACTAGAACTTTAGAACAATGAATGAAATTTGATATCAAAATCCCATTAAAAAACAATTAAATTAATCACTGATTGCACTTCACAACTTGCGGGATTTTCAATTGCAGCACACATTTTAAACATTTACAGTGGACAAAGCAGAAGCAACACAAACCACATGCTAACACAGCTGAATATGTAACAAGTGAAGATACGCTCTGACACCTAAATGGTGACTCTAACCCAACACTATGCCCCTAGCAGCCAAAATGTAAGTTACTTTCTGGATTGTCCGGATATATTAAATTACAAGTATATAAAAATTTTGATATAAATGTATTGAAAATTACATTTTTTATTAAAAAATATTCATGAATTGTTTATATTGTTCTCAATAATTCAGTTGTGAGTTTGAAAGATTTTTGTTGGAAAACTTTGACATAATCTGGCATTTTACTTTTAGATAGAAAATGCTCGACAGACTATTTTATTTGAATTAGAAGATATTAACATGAAACCTGATAAGGAACCATTATTATGTGAAATGATACATGCAGTAAGTAAATGTATTTTACTATACAACTTGATTCTTATTATTTCAAAAAAATGTTTATTTCAATCATTGAAAAGTTTTTAAGGTAGAAGTATTAAATATGACAGGATTGTTAGTTTTTTTTTAAACACTTTTAATAGTAAAACATAAGAAATAAATTAGATGGACAATCCATATATTAAAAATAATAATAAGCATAATTAAAAACATTTATGTAATTTCAATATAAATGGCAAAAGAATAGGAATACAAAGCAATATAAGGAATAATAGTGCAAGTTCAAGATCATCACAGTTCATGATTACTTATTTTAAAAAGTTTGATGCTTCTACATCTTCTGAATGTAGGTGTGTATAATTGTATAATAGCATTTAGTAAAATCATATCGTATGAATTTTCGTAATGCTAATTTGGGAGCAAAGAACAAATATCGAGTGGGAAATTTTGATGGCATATTTCTTTAAGTATTGAATTTTATTAAATTGGAAAAATGCTCACAAAAATATGAAATGTTCTCAAAAATGTTTAGAGATAAGATCGTTAAAATTTGAGATTTTAAGATTATATTAATTTGAATTAATTAAGTTAATGATTTTAAAAAATTCCTGAATTTAATAACTTAATTTATTCAAATGTGATCTGGAAAACTGTTAGTGTATATGATATTTAAAATAACTGAGTTTTAACATTGTTACATTACTAAATTATTAAAGATCAAAAGATTTCGAGTGATAACAATGGATTCAGATATTTCATCATGCTACTACTTTCTTGCCATGATTGTCTTTCCATATTGCAGTTCTTTTTTAATTCTAAAAATTTTTCTGAATCAGCCTTCTGATAAAATGCAACAAAACAAAATTTAATGTATAATAATTTATTTTGAGTTATTATATTTTAAAATATTATTTTATTTAATTAGTATTATTATGAAATATTTAAAAATTTAAATTAGGCTGCATATAGGGATAACACCTTAGGACTGCCCAAGCTTTGTCCTGTCGAAAATGTCTCGGTTATTGATCGTTCAGTCATCTTTACTTACTTAAAACATCATTACACACCTTCCAGAATGGTCATTGCAGGTGTTGGTGTTGATCATGATGCACTTGTGGAAAGTGCAGAAAGGTAAATATATATTTATTTCTATTATTTTTGTTAGTTAATCCTTTAAAATTTTCTTTGTCTTATTATAACATTCCCAGTTATATTTAGGTCATATTGTGCATCTATAAAATTGCTTGCTGCTATTATTACATTTTTAGTAATTTCTACCATTAACTAAAGATAATTCTGGCAATAAGTTTTCATGATACAAATATTTATTTTACAGAAGTTTTAATTGTTTTATATCATAATATATATCTTGTAATATAAGATATTAGGCAACTTTATCTAATTAAGAAAAACTGTAATAAAAAAATCTGGAGTGTAGTAGTAATTTTTATACTAAACTAATTGAAATTCATATTGTAAAAACAATAATAATAAAGTTGTTGTTGGAATTTCAACATACACCATGAAGCTAGAAGTATTTGGACATCTAACTTTAGGTGAAACAACAGCATTTATTTGCAAAAATCAATAATTTATCCATTTATCTTTGATTGTAATTACTGCAGTGAGTCTTCTAAGCTTTCTATTTCCATTAAATTTAAATACTATAAATCTGTTCAGGAAAAAGTAATATTTTTTTTAGTACAATGCAGTCTGACAGAAGATTCAAGCATGCCCATCAGAATGAAAGAGTATGTGGCATGATTTAACACTCCACTAGACTCTCTTCCATTGTTTTGTTCTCTGCAAGCAAAACACTGAAGTCATCATTTGGTATTGCTTCTAATAGTAAAGGTCTTGTGCCTAGTTTGTTTAATATGTAACCAAGGAAATGAAATTTTCCTGGTATTAATAACTGTTCCAGTAGCTTTCTTTCATATCAATTGCAATGTGATGTGCACAACTACTTCAAATTTTCCATTAAGTGTCTTTGGATATGATCATTCAGTTTGCACAGCCTCCCAGAATAAATTTTTGCTTTAGATGATCATTCAATTTCTAATCAATAACATGTACAAATAGAAAATAAGCCCAAAGTATTTTAATCTAAAAAATCCATTATGCATTTTATTAATGAATTATATCAGATATGGTATATTTTGCACAAATTACTTACTAAGATGGCATTGGTCACCTTACCCCATTAAAAACAAATGTTTAAATATAAAATAAAAAATTTAAATATGAACATTATTGAATATAACATTATTAAATTACATATTATATAAGTTATATATCACTTGCAATAAATATCGAACAAATTTATGTCAACAGAATTGGTTTAGTCATCATAAATTTGTCGTGTTTATTTATTAAAAAACTTTTTGGATGAATGAGTAGGAATTGAGGTGAATCTAAGATTCATATAAATGTGACCGTAGGGTCAGCACCTCTTCGGCGCCCTGTCAGGATGACACCACCGAGTCTCTAAGGGACTCGGAAAACGCGACTTTATGTCACGAGATTCGCAAGCGGTAGCGTGTGAGCGCTTGGATTCGGAGTAGAGGTGAGGAGAGAGACGAGGAAGTGACTCACTCGGACTCCATATGTTCTAACAAAAAATCAATTTTAATAATAAACAAAGAAAATACAGAGATATCGGCCATATTAGCGGACTTAATTATACTATTCCGTTCGAGAGAGAGAGTTTACAACCGAATCGCGGGTTGATAAATACCTTTCTTTTTCCTAGGTCGCAGATCTGTAGTATGATGACACTCTTGACTCCTCTGAAATGGTCTTTCCACTAGTTCTTGTCCGTTAATTGGATCTCGGAGGTGTGGAAGCACGGAAGTGGGGTGAGATTCTTAAGGAGACACGGTGTTACTTCTGTCAAGGTGTTATTTCGGAATTTTGATGCACGGGTTTTATCCTGGGTTGCGGTTTTAATCCTGGGCACGGTTTGAATCCTGGATCACGGTTTTAATCCTCGGATGACGACTTTTGTAGAAGGATTTCGGATGACGACTGACTTTGGGGTCTTTTTTCTTTTCTTTTTTCATTCCTCTTGGGTCTTTTCCATGAGGTCAGGTGATGGCCTTTAATGGTCGCCCGTCCAATATGTCTTTTCCATTCAAAGTTCCTGGTGACACATCCCTGACTAACTTGATCCGACTCAACAAGGAACAAACCCCGTGGGAAATAATTTTTATGGCTTTTAGCCTAACTCGATAAAACGCTCGAATTTAACCGATTAAATTTTCTAATAATTAAAATTTAAAATAACACTTTATTGTGGGTCTGTTCGTCCCTCACATAAATATGGTAATTGTTTCAGCAAGTTCTTCTAGTGTAAGAGTCAATAAAATTAGAATTTCCAGTAATTGTAGTTATATTTATTTATATAAAGACACTGAACATGCCAATTAAACATAATTAAATTAAATTTTCATTAAAACTTTGTTTTAAATTTAATTGTTGGAAAAGTGTGTGAAGCATGTTGAGTGTCTTTATATGCTATAGTAGTTTCAGCTGTAATTAATTATTATTGATTTTTTTAATTTATTTTCCTTCATATTATCAATCAAATGTACAGTGGTGCCTCATATAATGTATTCAATACTTAATCCATTCCAGGTGCACGTCCGTTAAGTGAAAAGTCCGTTATACGAAATGCATTTTCCCATAGAAATACGTGTTAAAACATATAATTTGTTTTGCAGCATAAAATAACCATGCCATAAAAAAATGAAAATGGAGCAGTCGCCAATTATGCCGGGTAGTCAGATGTTGTGAGGAGGTGGAGGAACGCTTTTTTCACACATTCATACAGATACAAACTTTTTACACATTGCAGTGGGTCTCTTTTTATTGTTTTTTAATCGGAGTCAGATTCAGGAGAGGCTAGCAGAGCTTGCAGGGTCAACTTCTCTTGTTCCATTTTTTGTCTTTTGGCAGCTGGCTTCTTGAAAAACATGTCCAAGGTGGTCTGTTTCTCTCTCTTCTTCAACACCTGTCGGAAATGAAGGGTGTCATTGTAGAGATCATTGATCCTGTTGGTCTCAGCTCTGTTTGGATAATGAGTGTTGGTAAACTGTTCGACCTCTCCCCATTTGACAAGGAAGTTTTTGTCAACTTTCACTCCTTCTGATGATTTCTTGCTTTGTTTCAATTGAAATCACTTTTCTGTTTTTTTAGAAGCACAACACTTGAATAAATGTAAATACCATGCACTGAGGTGATGTACTGTACGTAATAAACAAGGGAACAAGCCGAATCCCAACGGGAGCTCTGTACTTCAGGTATACTACTAATATATTATAAAAATAGCAGATTGTCATTGGCAACGGCAAAAGAGTGGAAACATCATTTGCACTTGTTTGCAGCCAGTCCGTTGCTTGAGTCACATAATGGCCAAACAGAAAGTCCGTTGTTTGCAGCGTCTGTTATTCAAGGCATACGTTATACGAGGCACCACTGTATATTTTTACCAGTACAGATAAATCCCAAAGTGATTACAATAAGTGAATTCTATTGTGTGTATATATATATATATTTGTAATTAATATAAATTTTGTCTTAAATTTCAGGTATTTTGTAGAAAAGAAACCAATTTGGGAAGAAGAATTGGTAGCATTGAAAAAGAATGTTAGAATTGATAATTCAATTTCACAATATACAGGAGGTCTTATAAAAGTAATTTTCATTGATATTTTAGATAAATTAAATTGATGTATATCTAAAAACAAATTTATTTTGCACAGTTTATTTATTAATAAATATTAAATTAAAATTTTATAGAAGTAAAGTTACTTCTATACAGTTTTTAAATGTTTATTAAAATTTATTTTAATAGAATGATTTAGAATAAATAGTTATTTTTGCTTAAAAAAATATTTTAAAATACTTTTGTATCTGTATTTGTATAATACATGTTGTATTATTTATTTCTGTATGTCAAATACAGTACTGAATCGATTATCTGGGAACATTGGTACTGAAAATGATCCAGATTTAACATATACAAATTAATACACTTCTGAAGTAGAGTCTGTTTGAGCATTATTAATCCTCTTAAAATATAGAATACCACATAAAGTATAATGTTTAGGATGAAAATTAAGCAAAGAAGAGTAAATAACATAAATGAACTGGCATCACATGATACATATGCCACAGAAATCAAACAAAGCATCCTTATGGCAAACTACAGCTGTGCTACATCCTGCCAAATTAGAAAATAGCTTGTTTTCTGGAAACTTTAGATTTCTGTAAGCTGGATAATTGATCTGGTGTGGCAGGTGCAGGAACAATGGCATGTCTTAAGTTTAAAATTTTAGCTAATGGTGTGTGTGTTTTTTACCATTTATGTAATTTTGCATTTGCCAAAATATACAAATTGGGTACCCAATTACACTGTTGTTGATAAAGCAGCATTTTTAACAATCCATCTGGAAATCCCAAATAAGTTTATTAATAACAACCTACGGACTCATAACTGATCAATAACCATCTCGGAAGACCTGCTAGACATCACAATTTAATCACACCTGAAGAACCATATGTCATCATTTGCAACTTTCAATCACTATACTCAGCAATACAAATAAAAACATTCTTTTGTATGCTATGTGTCTTCCTGTTTAACAACATTAAAGACTCCAGAAAGCACCCCTTCCTATATCCAAATTGTAAATGATGTCTACTAACTGAATCCTCAAGTTAGCAGACATCATTTTCCATTTGTTTTTCTTTGAATTCAATTTGGAAATGTAACGTACCTACAACAAAGAGGTGTATCTATGGATAGCCAAATTTTGATCACCTTATATGAAATAGTGAGATTATCAGTGCTTTTGCATGGTTAACTCATAATCAGGCCACAAAGGTTCTAAATATGAGGGTCATACTGAAAGTCACAAGCAACAATTTTTTATAAATCAGATTAATTTATTTTTGAAAAAACAAATACATCAGATTATTTTTCAGACTTTTCTTTATTTTTCCATGTAGTCTTTTTTTTTTTTTTGGATGCATTTTCTCACCATTGTGGGAACTTGAAAATTCCCTTATGATAGAACTTTGTTGCAGCACTACAAAAATAACTGGCGCACTACTTTCTTGGTGTCCTCTCCATTTCATAGAGTGATCCTTACATGCTTTCCTTCACAACACTGTAAAGATGATAATCAGAGGGTGCTAATTTGGGACTGATTGCAGTATGCAGAAGAAATTTTCTTCTCGTTTTTCAAATTTTCTCCATTGTGTAACAGTGTGGGACCTCTATTGTTCTGCTTCAGGATGATCTTCTTTTCAGAAACAGTGCACAACAGAGCTTATGAAGTGTCATGATGTACTAATCAGCATTAATGGTGTGCACAAGTTGAAGAAATTCCACTTGAATCACCCCATCTACATCCCAGAAAATGGAGCTCTGTGGATGGCTGCTATGAGGCCAATCTTTGGTGCTTGGATTTCCACCTTTAAAATGTTTTACTCATTGTCTAACACTGCTGGCACCTATATACACATTTCCATATGCATGCTGAATTTTCTGATGAGTTTCTCCAGTGGAGATTCCTTCTTTAACAAGCACGCTGGCAAAAGGAAACATTAGTTGCAGCCATTTTGTAGAGGCTGCCTGTGGTCACGTGATGGAAGCTAATGATGCCATGACTCATGCATGGTACTGTCTACAGTCTGTAGATTATGACAATGTTCTTAGCTCTCCATAATTAATAGATTGTGATTTATGAAAAATTGTTGCTCACGACTTTCATATGACCTATGTAGTTTAAAGAACTGTGATTTTGATTTACTTAACTTCTGAATAAATATTGATAAAAAAAATGTATAGTATATAAAATGAGGATGATAACTATGATAAAAATTTCACAAATTTAGAACAAATACTAAAAAAACAAGTCTTTTCAAGTGTTTTTCCATATTTCGAAATCAGTTAGACTAGTCTGAAGGGGGGACAGCAGAGTCTACCTTTATTTTGAGACTCTTGTCTGTCACTGTATGCAAAAGATATTAAAAATCCCTTCAATGACAGCATAATTGTAATTTTATATTGATATAAAGTATAAGTTAATTGATAAACACAATGCAGTCCATAAATTTTAGGGCAGGAATTATAAAAAAAAAATTCAAAATATTCAAAAGATAATACTTTTTTTTTCATTGGCACGTATCAGGCTTTAGCACTGTCGTATTTGCAGATGTTCACACCATCCAGATAGCTTCAATTTTAACTCGGAAAATAGAAAATATTCTGTGGGTGACAAATCTGGTGAATAAGATAGATGATAAAAGATGGGTTTTTTCATGTCAAAAGTTGAATCATACTTGCAGTCTTGTGTTCTGGTGCATTATTGTGCAATGGGAAAAAATCTTGGAATCAGAATACAGAGGGAAAAACATGCTGAATGCATCTATAAACATTTCAAATATCAATGTTTTTAATAATAAGCCAAACAATCATCATATTGAATAGGGCTACTGCTATTAAATTTAATAAGAGATGATGTGTAACGCCTACTTCTAGTACCAAATTACTTAAGAATTTAATTAATAATAGTGGTAAAGTAGACCAATTCAATATTGTGATCATCTGGCTTATTGTGCTGGATGCATTTGGAGAGACAATCCAATACTTTTTTCTTTATTTATAAAACTCTGCATTCACTCTTCTTCCTTCAAGTACAAATTTTTTATGAATCATGCTTTGTGGGTAAAAAATGAGCAATATTGTTTTGATGTGTGACTTTTGCAATTTCAGTTTCTCAGATTGGTTTAGATCTTTGTTACCTTATTCCTCTTGAACCAGTTTTAGGGTTTCTGTAACAGAAAGACCTATCTTAAAGCAAAATTTAATTCTCTTTACACTTTTTAAATCTGTGACATAGCTGCAGAAATACAGTTTACATTAGATCTTATAACTTGCAAGTTTCTGAACATATGCTAGTGATACTCTGCATGTAAACAGACAATAGTTGCTATTATTTAATTAGCACATTGACCAATACATTACTACACTATTAATCTGGAAAAGATTTAGTCTTAAAACTCATGGACTGCACTGCCTATAATGTAACAAACTGGATTCTATGACTTACAGATGTCTAATATTTTATTTAAATTTATTTTCAGGTAGAAAAAGATCTTTCAAATGTTAGCCTTGGACCGACACCAATTCCTGAACTTGCACATTTTGTGTTGGGTCTAGAGAGCAGTTCTCATAAAGATGTAGACTTTATTCCATTTTGTGTTTTAAATATGATGATGGGTGGAGGAGGTTCTTTTTCTGCTGGTGGTCCTGGGAAAGGCATGTATACAAGGCTCTATACAAATGTTTTAAACAGGTAATTTAATTTTGATTAATTTATTAAGAAGTTTTAACTTAAATAATAGAACTGTAAGGAGAATTCAAAACGTTACTGTTCATGGGTAATAAATTAATAAGTAATGCAGAAAGTCTAAAAAAGTCACCATGGGCATTAAGGCAATTATCCTATTGCTTGAAAAAATCAAAAATGCCTTTCTGATAAAATTCCCATGGTGAGGACTTGGAACAATTACAAAGTGAACACTAGTCAGAGCATTCATTCCAAATAGCCAGCCAACCTTTCATCCCTCTCTTCATGGGTCCAAATGCAGTAAAGTAATCTAAGATGTCTACAGCATTGTCATAGAACAAAATGACACCAAAGCTCAGAATTTCATGTTGTTTTGCTCTAATGGCTGCACACAGATGGTCTAAAGAGCTGCAGTAGTTCTGCACAATTATGCTCTGATCAGATATTCAATGAACCCTCAGAATCAAAAATGCACCTGAACTTTTTCAGACAAGGAGATGACAGGTGCCATTATTGCATAGTCATTGGTTTTGATTCTGGTTTGAAGTAGTTGCACCATATTTCATCACTGCTGACTACAGATTCCAAGAACTTGTTGCCTTCCTTATAGATTTTCAATTAAGCAGGTCATGTGATCATTCTTTTGAGATTCATTTAGGAAATTGGAATTCCACTCAAACAAACCTTATAAAATTCAAGATCCTGTGTGATAACATGCACACTTTCTAGTGATATATCAAGGTTTTCTAACAACTGCTTGATGGACACCCTATGATTATGGAATATACATGTTTCGATTGTTATAATATATTCATCTGTTCTGGATATGACAGGCATTTCATGGAAAATCAGCTGTTGGTTTGTAACCATGTCTAAAGTATGAGCCTCATTCCATTATTGATACCTTTGACAGAAATATATATCAAACACACTCAAATAACTTTGAACATTAAAAAACATTTTAGTTATTAAATTTTTGTTGCTTTTTCAATGTTATTTGAGTGTGTCTGTTAACTTTACACAGCAGCTCTAAATTAGACATATACTGTACATCTGTATACTGTAGTCATTAGTTGATGTATTTGCCAGGTATTTTACTTTCTGTACTTAGATCAATTGAATAACTGCTCTGTGGACAGACTTGGACATGCAGTGACAATTTGATATAACTGTTATTGCATTTAAACTTGATATGTTGCATCTAACAATGATTCCATTTTGAGCCAAAGTAAAGTAATTTAAACATGCATAGTAATCTAGAATGTTATTTGATCAGGCATCATGAATTGAAACTTTTTGAATATGTATGTTACTGTAAAAGCCTGTATATTGGTAAATCCTAGGTTTTACTTGTAAATCTTCCACTTTATAAAAATCCTTACATTTACCAACATGAGTTGGTAAATGTAAGGATTTTTATAAAGTGAGATGATTTTCTGGGCTTTTACCATTAGAATTTGGTACATGCTAGGTTTTACTAAAGACGATTAGTAAATGCTGGTTTTGGAAATAAAACTATGAGTATTTTAATAATCATTTATTGCAATTATTATAAACAGTCAACTTACTAAGTCCTATTTATTAATAACTAGTGAAACAGTTTAAAAATACTTTTTTAACATAACAAAAAATTAAATTATCTTGTCAAAAATAATATAATAGCTTATGTTGGCTAAACTAATCAATAATCACAGTATTTTTTCTAATCATTTGGTATTCATTGTCATTTAATAAAAGTAAAAAAAGGATTTTACTTGTTACAACATGGAGAGCTATCATGGCATTTAGAATTACAAAGTAATCCTGATGACTTGCAAGTGCACTTCTTCATTACGCATTTTTTCAGGCAGTTGCATTTCTTGAAACCTTGTCCTCCAGTCAAAGACAATTTTGTGACAACTTCTCAAAGACTCGCTTCTTTATCTTTAACAACTTCTTCTATCTTGATAAAATCTTCAGGTAAATTGATTTTGTGTATAAAGCTGCTTTAGTACTCCAATTTTGGTACCTAGTTGGTAAAACTCGTTGTCCTTTACATCTACTACAACTGCAATAACGTTTTTCGGGTCGGTTTTAGCTTTGTCAATTTCAGGCACTTTCAGTCTTACATTTTGGCCAATTTTCACATTTGGATATTTATCAACAGACGTGGCTTTAATTTTTTCAGCTTGTTTCTTCAAACTCAATTTTGCATTGTTTCTTATAGTCACCACAGATTCTATCTTATTTGGTATTGGCTCTATAGTTACAAGAACTTCCTGAGATGCAATCGTGTTTTCTGTCTCTGAATCGGTATCTCTCTGAATCGTTACATTGGAACCATCGATTATTTGCTTCGCCTTCATCATCTCAGTAATAATCATTTCATCTTCTTGTGTTTTATCGTTGACAGTGCTATTGTCTATATCCCCTTCTGACTCATTTTCAACAATGCTTTCTTCCTTGTCCTGTTTGATTGCATTTTCGATGACATTATTTTGTTCCGTATTGTCATGCAAATGCAACAGCTTCTCTAAATCATCTTCAGATCTTATAACTAATCATATCACCAAGGATTGCTGAAGTTGCAAGGCTCATTTTCATTGGACAACCAAACATTGCGTCGTAGGGAGAACATTTGATTCCCTCGTGGTATGCTCTATTTTTCATCGCCTGGACGAATCTTAAACCCTCTGACCACTTTGATAACTGATTGGTTTCTATCCACGTGCTCAACATATTTTCTATGTCTTGATTAACACGCTCCACTGACTTTGGCTATGTCTTGCCTTTCCATGTACGATTTTTACATCTGGCCACATAGAGCATAAACTCTCAATAACTTGGTTAGAGAATTCTCGGCCATTATCGAAATGAAAGATGCTCGGGGCTCCAAAAGTGGTGAAAATATCCAAAAAATGGTATGCAACTTCTACGGCACGTTTAGTTTGGAGCACACAAAGGATCACAAATTTGATAAGATGGTCTTGGTAAACTAAAATAAATTTATATTTTCCATCTGGGGTAGTTTGTAGATCTATTAGATTAACCTGACAGCATGAGTTCATTTCACTATGTAGTATAGATCTGACAACAGTGCCCTTTTAAAGTCTTCTGTTTCTTTTGGCAAGGTTAACATAGTTTCAAATATGTCATAGTAGCCTCAACTGTTACATTTTTAAATTTGCGGTTACATTCCTTAAGCATCCTTGCCCTTCCACCGTGGCCAACAGCAACATGCGTTTCTTCGAGAATGTTGAATAAGTCCTTGTAACAAATGTAATACCTTATTTCTCCATCCTTCTCCTTCATAGGCGCAATTAGTTTTTCTTCGCTGCCTATAGTCAAAATGTCGTAACACTTTATAAGCTTGTAATGAACAGCTTGTTTCTTTTTCATGTTCTTTGCAGCTTTTACTTCCTCCAAACACTTTGCGTATTCGTCCCTATTGAGATAAAAGTTATCTTTATTGCTTGCAACGAGCTCGTTCATTATTTCATAAAATCTCCGTTTCACGCTCATCTTGATTCATAAATAACTTTTAGATAGAGAAATCTCAAACAAGATTAGAATTAACGTGCGTGTTCTAATGTGTCAAACAATGGAATGCTGCGAGCGAAGGCGGCGGCTCGGTGCGGGAAGCGGAGACTATTTTTTCAACATTTACCATGTCTCTGAGGTAAAACCTAAGATATACCAAGTAATTGCTGATAAAAGTTCGAAATTAATGATGATTGCAGAACATTTCGGACTTTTACCGCAAAGATTTGGTAAATCTTAGGTTTTACTGGAAGATCTTAGGATTTACCATAGTTCAAGCATTTACAGTAACATGTATATATAAAATTAATAAAACTTCTATTTTGATGTATTACAGATAAATTGCTGATAATTATATTTATTTTTTTGTCTAAAAATTTAGTATGTATAACTCTCACTTAAAATTTCTAATTGATTTTAATTGGTATTTAATAGAATTTGTAAAATTTTGTTTATTTTTTAAATTAGCCTGATTATTAAAATAAAAGAAAAAAAGATCTGGATTATTTACAGGTTTCACTGGATGTATAATGCAACAGCATATAATCATGTATATAATGATAGTGGTATTTTCTGCATTCATGCAAGTGCCCATCCTTCTCAGGTAATTTTTATTTAAATATTTACAAAAACAATTAATATAGATGATTTTATAGCTTGAGAAAAAATATATTGTAATTCTGATATTTTGAAGTTAATAAAAATACAAAATTCTCTCGCAATGTTAGAGGATATACCATTCCAAGAATAACATGTTGTGTCACTTATGCTAATATGTAAAAGTGACACATTTGTTACATAGAGCTTTTGGATTATGAGTTTTACTGCCCACTTTTAATGGACTAATATCAAACTTGTAAAAGTACACAATGTGTAAGCTTAAGTAAAGCATATAATATTTAATTTGGCTAATGTTATATACATACAACCACAGCTGAAAACTCAAGCAAACATTTTAGTGTCAAATAAAATATTTTTTGCGGTACTAGAATAAGTGAGAATATATTTGAAAACTAATGCTTTTTGGACATACTCCTGCTTACTCTAGTATTCCTATGAACTCCCTATATCTTAAGAGTCCATTTGAACTTAACATATCTAAATCTAAGAGTGCAATTAACCTAGATATTTACCAGGCCTGAATCTGATGTATCGTGACATCGTAGGAAGAGTGCATATTGTAAATAACTATTTTATTTAACTATTGTAAAATCTTGATATTTTGAGAATAAAAGTTTGTGTTTCATCAAAATTATCATGTAACATAGCTTAAATAACATTAATTTGATATCGGATTTTAATAAACTGGAAATTAATCTTTTTTTATTAATACTTTTTACCTCTATGTCTTTACTGTTTTACATTTCTGTTATATCTTGTCTACTTTATTAATAGGAGTTATTATACTGGTGTAGTTTCTGTTTAGACTAAGATGTCCTCTCTTTGCTAATCAGAAACTATACCAGTATAATAAGTCCTATTAATAAACAAGTTCCAAGTAGACAGGATATACACAGAAATGTTAATCTTTTTTAATTTGCAAGTTTTTATATTAACATTATCGTTTTATTTTTAAATTTGAAATAATAAACTTTATTATGACAAAGAGACACAAACTTCACAAATTGTGATTTAACAACTGTACAATTTAAAATTTAAAAAGATTCAAATTTTTTATAAGGTAAGTGCATTTAGCTTATATCATTTAATATACAATAATTATAATATCGCACAAAACAGTTATACATTTAGCTAATCCAATATCTAAAAATCCGATGTACATACATGATGTTACACCAACAAGCATATAACTAGTATCAGCAGACATTTAACAGGTATCATAGACTGATGTAAACTCTCTCTCAGTATCTTAGTTGTTAAGTAGTTAGCTTGTAGTTTGTAACCTTTGTATATGTATTTAACTCCTTTATGTTACTTATTAAATTTGTTGTTTTGTTTAATTGGTGTTGATATTTGTTATTGTAGGATCGGTTAGCCTATTGACTTACCCACAACTCCGCCGCTCAATCCAGCCCTCTACTCTGAATTTAGACGGCAAATATAATTGCAAGTTAAGACACGTTATTTCTTAACTGGTGTCAGAAAAAAAAATCAGACTTAAGATCTTCCGATTTAGGTCATCCTGCTAAACTAAAGCCATTCGGTGACAATTGAGCAGGCCTAATCATCCCAATGTTGAACAAAGAGGTTTAAACTGATAGTAATTGACTTCAACTTCTCACATCTCTTCTTGAAATTATGTTATAGTTATACAATTAATTTAAAATTCAAAAATCTTTTCAGAAATAACAGAAATGATGTTTCATATATATTAAAAATTATTTTATAGGTATATTTGCTTAACTATTAGTTTTAATTAAAATACATTTATTGCAATATATGATTGAATGAAATATTTTTAATAAAATATGACTCAAAATAAAATAATATTTGGTTTATATAAGTGTTTGATAAATCTATATTGGAAAATAAAATTATATAATAGTTAGAAAAAAAAACAGAAATCAGCTATTATATTTGATTTTTCCACTCATCTGTATATAGAAACCTCAATACAATTATTATTATACATAAAAGTAGTTAATATACAAAATATAAAATTATATATTAGTTATTAAATTATAATTGTGTAAAAATTGTATATTAATAAGCATCAGAGGAAAATTATAAAGTTCATTTATCTGTAAGAAAATCAGTATGAGTGTTGAATGAAGTATTATAATAATTCAAATATCTGTCTCACTATTAGAATTCTCCATTTTTAAACATCCCCTTAACATCATCATAAAATTAAAAACTTACTTGTACTTACCACAATACAGACTTCTCTCTCTTATTTCATTCCTTATAAAATTCATTTTTTTTTGTCATCCAACATATCTTTGAGTGCAATAGGTAGTTGCCATTATTGAGCCACTGCTTCCTTCCTTAGTCTTTTGAGGGAAGGGTCAACAATACAGTGGTACCTCAGGATACGAAATTAATTTGTTCTGAAACTGAGATTGTATCATGAAAATGTCGTAAGGTGAATCATTTTTCTCCATACGATTACATGTAAAACCAAATAATTTGTTCCAACACAAAAAACACACTCAAATTAAAGCTAAGTAGTACATTAAAAAAAAAAAAACTATAGTAAGGAAAACGCTGAAAAATGCATTTTGTAGTTGTATGTATAAATAACCATAATAGAATAATAATTGATTAAAAAAAAATGTAGTTTTATTTTCACTTTACCTTTGAGGATAGACGGCGGTGGAGGTGTAAACTGGTGGCAGAAGAGAGGGAGAAGGGAAATGATACTAAAACTTAACTTACATAACATAATGTAACAATAACTTAAAAATAACTTAGAAAAGATTTTAAAAAATTAGTGTTGTTTTATATATATTTTTTAAAATTTTTATTCACTGCTTTTTGTTTTCTTTCCTTCACTTCCACCAGTACTTTCACTGGATAGAAGTCACTTGGTAAAATATCTATCCAAAGAAGTTTGGCTTTGCCTACTTTTTAAAATGTTTCTAAAATGATTTAGGTAAATGTCATTACTCCAAGCAGCAATACAGCCAGTGTGAACCTTTTCAAGATATTTCTTTTCAATAAAATCAGTCACTTTCTGATAATTCCTCGAGATTTCCTTTATCGAGCGAGATCCTTCCACGACGAAGCAAACACACGGACTGAGACCAATGAACAGAAGTGAATAAAAAATGGCGCTGCGAACTAATGTAACGTCGTATGGTGAGTTTTTGTTTGTATCATGGAGCAAAATATGTTTGAATTTTGTCATATTTTGAAAATTTCGTATGCTGGGGCATTCATATCCTGAGGTACCACTGTATACCTAAAATAGAAATCAGTTTATATTACTTAAGTGCATTCTACAAACTCTTATTTTTTTCAATTTTATTTAGAGTACAAATTTTTTATATTCAATCATATTGAAAATCATATTGAAAAATACTAAAGATATTTCAATATGATTTTCTTTTAATATATAAAGTTTGTAGAGGCTAATATACACAGTTTTGTGAGACTAATCAGGAGTAGGATGTTACGAGTTCTTGACTCTCTTACCTCTTAATCGACTCAAGACCTTGAGGTCCGGTCTCACTTGTCCAAAAGATGGGTTCTTTTGAGCGGAAGGGTTATAGAGTTAAGGATCGTTAGATCTTATTCATGTCAGGATCTGACACCAATCTATCAATTTATTGGCAGATAGATACACTTTTAAGTGAGGTTGATTTAACAGGTGCGATCTCGTTCATGATTTTTGGTTTGGAATGGAGGTGGTAATGTAGGAAGAAATGCACACCAATCCAAGTTCATTAACAATATACCCGTTTATTGTAGAACGTGTTTACATGGTTATAGATTATTAAGGGTTTGAGAGCACATATCTCTCTCTGGGTTAACATTCCGTATAGGTAATTCCATTTAGGAAAGGTAGCTGACAATATATAATAGTTGTGACCCTAACCACATTTCGAAAGTACTTGAGAGAGAGCTTACATATCATCGTGAGTAGGATAAATACCTCTAATCGTACAGGATGGTTTCTTGACGATCTTTGAATTCGGATCCCAGGCTTGTTGAAATAGTTTGTTGAGTCGACGTAAGTCCAAAAATCGTAGAATAGTTCAGATAGGAAGTCTATCGAAGATGGTGACGACAAGAGGCAGAAAATCCACAGACACACTCACAGTACAAAATATCCCCCCCCCGTGTCGTCATTGCCTTTTATGTGGGGGCTCTCTTCTCGAGATTTCCCCATGTATATCAAAGGGTGATGATCTCCTTTGACCAATGGTGGATTAAGTGACAAAATTATGATATAACAGTTAACTCATCTTCTACAAGGAAGTATTTTCAAGTACAAGGAGTTTTATGATTGATTTTTTTATGAGAAAATTTGTCGGTTGTTTTTCTCTTTTTGAGTTAACCCTAACTTTTATAAAATCATTTTGGTTTCGAAACAAAAACAGTAGATGAAAATGAATAAAAATATTCGAATCTCAGCGTTCTTAAATCCTATCCCTCACAGTTTTCATTTTTGATAAAGCAAGACTTCCAGTTTTGCTTTATGAGTGTTGCTAGAATTATTGTGTAAGTTCAGAAGGGTTCTGTTTTAAATGAAGCCATATGAATTTTGTGTTTATGTCTCTATAAAATTTATATATATATTTATTCTTGCTTTTTAAGGTAGAATCTTACAAAATAGT